TTCCTGCTCTTAGTGGGAAAGCTTCTAGTTTCTCACCATTCAGCATGATGTTAGCTGTAGGTTTTTGGTAGATATTCTTTATCAAGTTGAAGAAATTTCCCTCTATTCCTAGTGTACTGATAAGCTTTTATTATGAATGGGTGTTGGATTTTGTCAAATACGTTTTCTGTATCTATTGATACAATCATATGATTTTTCTTTTTTAGTTTGTTGATGTGATGGGTTACATTAATTGATTTTTGAATATTGAACCAGCCTTGCATAATTGGGATAAATCCCACTTGGACATAGTGGATAATTCTTTTTATATGTTGTTGGTTTGGATTTGCTAATATCTTGTTGAGGATTTTTGCATCTATGTTCATGAGTGGTATTGGTTAGTAGTTTTCTTTCTCTGTACTATCTTTGTCTACTTTCGGTATCACGGTAATGCTGGTCTCGTAGAATGAGTTATGAAGTATTCTTTTTTCCTCTATTCTCTAAAAGAGATTGTAGAGAATTGGTATAATTTCTTCCTTAAATATTTGGTAGAATTCACCAGTGGACCCATCTGGGCCTGGTACTTTCTGTTCTGGAAGGTTATTAATTATTTATTAAATTTATTTGATAGAGACAGGCCCATTCAGATTATATATTTCTTCTTGTGTGTGTTTTGGAAGATTGTGTCTTTCAAGGAACTGGCCCGTTTCATCTAGGTTATCAAATTTATATGCCTTGAGTTGTTCATAGTATTCCTTTATTATCCTTTTAATGTCCATGGGATTTGTGGTGATGTCCCCTCTTTCATTTCTGATACTAGTAATTTGTGTCCTTTTCCTTTTTTTTCTTACTTAGCCTGGCTAGAGGCTTATCAATTTTATTGATCTTTTCCAAGAACCAGCTTTTGATTTTGTTGATTTTCCCTGTTGATTTCCTGTCTTCAATTTCTGCTCTAATTCTTCTTTTTTTTTCTGTTTACTTTGCATTTAATTTTCTATTCTTCTTCTAGTTTCCTACGGTGGGAACTTAGATTATTGATTTTAGATCTTTCTTCTTTTTAAATATATGCATTCAATGCTATAAATTTCCCTCTAAGCACTGCTTTTGCTGCATCCCACTAATTTTGGTAAGTTGTGTTTCATTTTCATTTAGTTCAAAATATCTTTAAATTTCTTTTGAGGCTTCTTCTTTGACCCATGTGTTATTTAGAAGTGTATTGTTTAATCTCCACATATATTTGGATTTTCCAGTTATCTTTCTGTTGTTGATTTCTAGTTTAATTTAGTTGTGGACTGAAAGCAAACATTGTATGACTTATAGTCTTTTAAATTTGTTAAGGTGTTTTATAGCCCAGAATGTGGTCTATCATGGTGAATGAGCTTGAGAAAAATGTGTATTCTGCTGTTATTGGATGAAGTAGTCTGTAGATGTCAATTATATCCAATTGATTGATGGTGTTTTTGAGTTCGACTATATCCTTACTGATTTTCTTCTTGCTGATTTTCAGTCTTTGTTCTCTTCGCTTTTCAGTTTTGGAAATTTTTATTGAGATATCTTCAAGCTTAGAGATTCTTTCCTCACCCGTGTCCAGTCTATTAATAAGCCTGTCAAAGGTATTCTTCATTTCTGTGACAGTATTTTTTATCTCCATCAGTTCTATTTGATTCTTTCTTAGGATTTCCATCTCTGCTTACATTGACCATCTGTTCTTGCATGCTGTATACTTTGTCTGTTAGAGCCCTTAGCATATTAATCATAGTTGTTTTAAATTTCTGGTCTGATAATTCCAACATCTCTGCCATATCTGGTTCTGATGCTCACTCTGTCTCTTCAAATTGTGTTTTTTCCTTTTTGGTATGCCTTTTAACTTATTCTTGATAGCCAGATATGAGGTACCGGGTAAAAGGAACTGCTGTGAACAGGCCTTTAGTAATGTGGTGAGGTGTAGAAGTGTTCTATAGTCCTGTGAGTAGGTCTCAGTCTTTTAGTGATCCTATGCCTCTGCACTGTGAACTTCACTTGTGTTTCTCGGGGTCTTTTTTTCTCCCTTCTTAGGTGGAACAGGATGGCTAGAGTGAGCTGGAGTTGGATATTTCCTTTCCTCTAGGTCAGTTTGACTCTGATATTATCCCAGCAGATTAGGCCCTGGTCTATAGTTTCTCCTGAGGGCAAGCCTTGTTAAGAACAGAATTCTCTGGAGCACTTCAAAATGATTCCCTTTCCCTCCCCTTGCTGGAAGCACAGGGGTTTTTTCTCTGATATTCTGTGAGAACTTGGTTAGGTTCCTGGAAGTTAAACTCACAAAAATGTGCTCCTTTCGCCCCATGACTGGGTCCCCCTGGAGTTTCTAATTCTCAGAGTTGTCCATGCTGAGCCTCCAGCAATTTGTCAGTTACGGTTCAGGATTTTCCTACCCTGGCACTGGTTCCTGTGGTGGTTTCCGCTGGTGAGTCTCTATTCTGGTCATCAGCGAACCTTTGTATTTGCCTGTCTGTCTCTCCAATCTTGGGGGCAGTGGTCTGCCCTATGTCCTCACCTTCCTTAGGGATCCAAGAATAGTTGTTGATTTTTCCGTCTGTTCAGCTTTTTGCTTGTTAGGGTGGAGTGGTGACTTCCAAGCTCCTCACATGTGAACTGGAAACTGGAAGTCCAGTCCAGATGTTTTTCGAGTTCCAGTATTAACTTCTTATTTTGACATGATTTCAGACTTGCAGTTGTTATTTCGGACCTACAATTCTTCCATCTTTCCTTGTCTTCGTGACTTTTACATTTTTAATACAGGTCAGTTATTTTATAGGAAGTCCCTCAATTTCGATTTGTCTGATGTTTCCTCATAATTAGATTCTGGTTCTACATTTTTGGCAGGAATAGCTGAAGTGATGGCATGTTCTTCTCAGTGCATCACATCAGAAGGCAGATGGTATCAATTAACTTCCATTTCTTGCTTAAGGTAGTGTCTAACACTGTAAAGGTACTATTTTTCTGTTTTTTTGAGAAGGCTATCTTGTAGGGAGATGCATTAATACCAGGCAATTATTTGTCCCCATCAAACTTTCACTACCTTATATTAGCAACCATTGATGATGCTTGCTTGAATCACTTATTACTTTCATGGTTTCCAAAGGATGATCTTCTAATTTCATCATTCTTTGTACATCTATTAGTTTGCATTTTACTGTGAGGAAGAGATTTTTCTTTTCCTTATTTATATCACTATGAATTCATGGATTCTTATTTTATTCTATGGGTTCTCATCTGTTACTATTTTATTTATTTTGATGCTCTAATTATCTCATATTTGGCTGCTGGGAGCTCCTTCAATCTGACTTCTGTGTCCAGTGTCATCTTTTTATTTTTAATATTTGCTTATCAATACGTATTTTTCTTGATTATTAAAGTAACACGTGTTTTTTTTAGACAATTTACTAGACTAATTTAAAATCAGAGAGAAAGATATAAAGATGTCTTTACCTATATAAAGATATAGGTAAAAATACCTATAATCCTGTTGTCTTCTATATGTTGATGTATTTTCTTTCAGCCTTTTCTTCCATTGCATTTTTAAATGTAGTAGAGATAGAACTAAAGGTAGAGATTTGTGTCTGAGTTTTGTCTTTTTAGCCTATCACCGAATTATAAGCATTCCCTGAGCTACTAAGAACTCTTTGGAGGGCCGGCCCTGTGGCTTAGCGGTTAAGTGCGGGAGCTCCGCTACTGGCGGCCCAGGTTCGGATCCCGGGCGCACACCGACGCACCGCTACTCCGGCCATGCTGAGGCCGCATCCCACATACAGCAACTAGAAGGATGTGCAGCTATGACATACAACTATCGACTGGGGCTTTGGGGAAAAAAAAAAGGAGGAGGATTGGCAATAGATGTTAGCTCAGAGCCAGTCTTCCTCAGCAAAAA